AGGTTGTCTATTGGAAAAGGAGCTGTTAGCTGGATCTCTAGGAAGGTTATCACTTTTGTATTTTGAGCTCCCATGTTTTGCAGTTCTCTCATCTCTACGAGCATCACCAGCAGAGCTACGCACTTCTGAGGGATATTGTGGTTGAGTTGCACCCCTGCCAAGGCTTGAAAGTTCTGCAGCAGCTCTAGCAGCCATACTTGCCCGTTCAGCAGATTCAGCAGCTGCCTGTGCTGCAGAGGTAGCATCTTTGAATTCCATCTCCCAACTTTGCCTAGTGGAATAAGAATTCCTCTCCTTCTGAAATGAAAGACTGACTTCTCCCATGTCTGCTCCATCTCCTGATGGACAGAAATCTATGAGAAAAAGTAAAATTTACACACCAAAAATTATAACACCATTTATTTTCTGAAGATTGTAACATACCTGAAGGCCTCATTTGACCCTGTGGAACAGAAGATACTCTGTTGCTGCTGAGAGTATTGTCTCTAGAAGCAAGTTTCTGGGTTTCTTGAGATCTCAAGTTCTGTTCAGGGAAATTTACAGGTTGATTATCCATCATGTGATGACTAGGTGGAGCTTGAATATCAGGAGTTACATGAGGACGAGCTTCAGCATGTACTGCACTGAACTTCTCAAAGGTGCTTGGTCCATTCTGATCATTATATAGAATAATTCAGTAATTACACTCAAAAAGTTCTCATGTATATTCAACTTTGAAGTTATGACTGTGCTCCACTAAAGAGATTATAACATTCAAGCAATTTTGTTATACCAGCAAGTCATCAGAAGGCAATGCATCGCTCTGTCCAAATGATTCTGGATCCCATTTGATATTATGTTCCTCCGCTATTGCTCTCAGAGCTTTAATTTTGGTTTGCCCATCAGGAGCATTTGCAGATAATTTCTCAACCAACTGAGAAAAGAGCAGCACAAGGTGACGATCATAGATGTAGACCTTTGACTACCATAAAGTGCATTTTGTTGAATCTAATATTTCAATTTACATACAAGTAACTGTTTGAGCTTTATAGATGTATAACATACCAATCTGCTTACACCACAATTAGGGCGTAACTCTATGGCTGGAGTTACAAAGTCTTTTCCATATTTTGCAGTAAAATGCTTTCTTGCATCTAAAAGTTCAGGTATATCTCCACATCGTGGTGATGCAAATATGATGCTTGTAACTGCTTCCTTCAGGTCAATGGGGCAGTTCCTGTGAAAGAACCAAAGAACAGTATGAATCTTGAACCCTAACTAAAGTTTAGATTAACTTGACAATATCTACACAAAGTGCATGTCTGTGAGAAAAGGGCCAATGAAGTGCCATACAAAGAAACAGCACATATTTTGAGCAAGATAACATCATTAAGACAGTAATTCCCATTTAGGCATTTTCATCTGTCTCCAGACAGTTAAACCATGTAGTGAATACGCTTTTATGCCAGGCATCTTCATATGACTTGAACATCAAGAAAAGTGTCAACATGTGCATATCAACTAAAAATTTATTCATATAGACACCTAACAAATGCAGATCTGGCTGGGCATGGATTTTGTCCATTCTTACAATCCACAAATCCTTCAAATAACCACTGTTGTAGGCATAATACTACTTAAGAAACCTCTAACTTCAAGTAGAAGACAAGTGGTTAAAGCATAAAACTAAGAAACCAACAACAGAATTGAGAGTAGAATCAAACTGCAGAATTGGCAAGTAGAGATGAAAAGTCATCCCAAACGACATCATTATCCATACTTCTGAGACTCAATCATCGGCAAGCGCGCGACAATGAGTTCGCAATATATGCCAATAAGGTCATATGCTGCCATCATCTTCTCTTCCCTGATTACATGCTCAACCTGAAATTGTGCAGGATGAAAGAAAGTCAAAAACATCTCGTCCATCACAAAAAAAAAACAACTATGGTTTGGCTAGCAAACGAATACTGTAATAAATACTATGAAGGGAGGAAGATATATTCTCAAACGAAAGTCCAAAGAAAAACAAAATGACAACTACAAAAACAATTACTGCAGTACTTTGTCCTACTCCACTAAAAGCGACCAGGGCTTAGTATAAACGAGTCTTAGCATCAAAGCATCAAAGCACATTACCAGATGAAAAAGTAAGTTATTACGAACATCCACTTCATTGAAACAGAGGGAATAAGCTGGCAAGGGCAGCCAGATGTTTTAGGGAAAAGGATGTTTTGCTAAATAGAGCCCATAGAACATCGACATATAAGTGGAATCATTTGAAAAGTTAGCTTAACCAGAAGGCTCCCCGTTTTGATCCTTTTTCCGCTCTTAAATATATTATGCTACTGATCTGTTGATCAACTACTGATGTATTCTAAGTATTTAGAACTGGCACTAATAAAGCTCTCAGAAAAATATCTAAAAGCCCTCCAAATAAACAGACAGACAAACAGAAACGTCACCCAATCAATCTACAACAGTATCCCCTCGTTAAGTTTTATCAATCCTTTTAAAAAATTGCCAAGGTAATTGCTACTTCTTCATGACATATAGAGATCAAATTTAATTTATACGATTCAAGTTTTTAACAAACCAAGTGATAAAAAAAAAAACTCAATTATCCGATAGCAAAATAGATGTTTGATCTCTAGATCATTTAATAGCACGCTTGTTAGACAATACAATTTTGCGGAGAAACATAGACAAGAAAATCAAGCAGTTATATTAGTCTGTAGAAGAACATAAAAACAAATTTACCAAAACAGTTAGAAAGAGATGACAAAAAAAGTAATACCCGAATCCTGGCGGTCTGGTCCTGACCGGACTCAAGCAACCCCGCCAATTCCCTCTTCATCTGCTTCACTTGTACTTCCTTCTTATTCTTCATTAGCTTCATTCTCGAAGCAGCTAACTTCAGCGCTGTCTTGCTGCATCATTTAATATAACCACACACCGAATTACATAAGAGAGAGAAAAAAAAGCATAATTGAATTGCCAAAGAAGAGAGAGAGTCACCATTTTGCAGGATTAAAGCTCTTGGAGAGCATGTCTTTTGGATTATGGAGAAATTTTGATTTCTTCATTCTTCTTCCGAGTAATATAGTAAGGAATCAAAGCATTAGAGCTCGAATATTGATTGATTTTGATCTGAAATTACTGTAGGATTGATGATGGCGGAGAATTCAATCACTGAAAGGGTTTCTTGGGGATTAAAATTACGGAAGGGAACTTAGGGAGGAAGAAATTCGACGAAGGATGAAAATCCTTTTTTTTATGTTCGATTTTTGAGAAATCAATTGGGATTCGCTTTACAGAGGAGAAGCCAGAGAAAGGAAGAGTTGTGGACTTCTTCCTCAAGACGCAGGAATGAAAAACCACAGCCAAAAAAAGGGGTTAAAAATGAAAAGTGATGGGCTGTTCCGACTTGGGATTAGGAAGGAAGTGCTTGTCTTTTAACGAGATTTTGACTTGGTACTCCTTGTCTGACCAAAAAATTGCCATCCGCTTCTCCACATGTCATCGAACTATAGTTGCGGTAACCGTGTTGTAATGTTGTTTCCTTGATTTGTCAGGACACACTACTCTAATTTCAGCCTTTTTTTTTTTTTTTTTGAAGGAAATGTGCACTGCAGTTGTTTGGCATATATAATGTGAATAAAATCAGTGGAGGATTTGCTAGTAGACAATAAAATACACTAGTAATGGGGTTAATTGTCAATGAATAAATGGAAATTTGATTGTATTTAGCATTTGCTCGTTGTACAGTTGCTTCCCATGTGTCTACCCTTGAGCCATGTTCCATCAGCTTTCTTTTATTCTTTTGGAAATTGCAAAGCAATTCAAGCATTCAAAATGTTGCTCTTTTCTTCGTGTTTTTACTACTAGTATATTCTCAAATGGTGAAACAACTCTTGCAGATTGAACGGTTATATAATATTATTATCGTTGGATTCATGATATATATATATATGTAAAAAATAAATTTTAATTTTATATGTTATCATTCATCTAAAGTTAATAATATATGCATCATCATCAGTGTATACAAAATTAATCATAAATATTAATAATAAAAACAATCTAAGTTTTACGATCATTTATTACACGAGAATTAATTGTACTTTGATAAGGTAAAAAAGAAAAAATTGGCACGTACTACTTTTTATCTTTTAAGTATTTTTTTTCCTCTCATTCCTTTACTCGGTAAATCTTTGCTGCCTTAGTACTTTTGTAACACAACCTCTTAATATTCTCGTGGACGGAACATGCACGCGTCTGCGTCAAAGTTGTCAAATTCCTCGTGGACGTCATCTTCCTTCCTCCTGAGACCTAATTCCTAAACCTTATCATGGTCATTTTGCATAATTTTCTTTTAGCTATCTTTGTCATGTTACTGCGTTGGCGCCGTTGCGTGTGAACGCAGTGGACAATAAACTAAAAGTTTATTCCTTATCATGCAAAGTGAAAAGAGCGTCAAGACTTTAATGTCGTTTACGAAACTTCGTCGGAGATACAGCCTAAATCCTAAATTATTACAACAATTTTGATTCAACTCACAGTAATATTTAAAGAAAAAAGAAACAGAGTAGTACATCTACATTAACTCAAGTCCTTTTATATTCTTTTTGCAAGTCAATTCGTTTCTTGGTACACTTACCATCTACATTAATTATATTCTCTTTTTTTTTTTTTTTTTTTTTTGCATTATCGTCCCCATCATTTCTGGGTAAAGCCACCACAGACTTGTAAGTTACAGCCTTGAAGTCACCAACCAAATGTGACAGGGCCTCATCTGCTTGTCAATTGGTTTCTAGAAACTGTTCCTCTTAACCAAAAGTAGAGAGAGGAGATCATAGCCTATCAAAAGACATTTCAATCAAGAACAGGTTCTTCTGGCAGCCTATCTGGAACACGGTCAAATCCTTATTATGACGCCGGCTGTAGCAGCCAAAAAAGAAAACCCTAAAAAGAAAAAAAAAAGTACATAGACATGTAACAATCATTAACACAAGTTTCAAAGTCTTAAATTTTGTGATTTGATTAGTGAGAAAGACAAGGGAGTTCACAGACATATAGAGAGAGGGGAACCAATGTGCAGTGCAGACACGTTGGCCAAGATGAGCTTGACACTGCAACTGGGGGGCGAATTTTTTCGGAAGAGCCACCACAAAACCTGAGGACTGTGTGTTAGGGAAGGACATTTTGGGTGTTACAACGCCTAGGTATGCTGTATTGTAGCGGGTTTTCAGCCCTCCACATTAACAACAACCCCCCTCCCCCCCGGTCCCAAAAAGAAAAAATTGTAGATACACGAAACTTCCATACGAGGAATCGCAGTTTTCTGTCATCGGATCACAAATTCAGTACAATAATTTCAGTTTGAAGCCATCCCCTTTCAAATGAATGTCCTATTGCACCAGGAGAAAGCAAAATGGACCTTCCACTGGGCGAGATTGTCTCATAGGAAACCTGCTAAAGAGATCTACCTAAACACACTACCAGACAGAACATATTATCGTAGAATTATATTATTGTTTTTTACCTCTAAAACATCAGTAACTCTGTCCAAAATTCCTTTTCCCGTGAATCAAATTTTTGTTGATTGGAAAGAATACCTGTACGACTTTGCGTTATGCAGCCAATTACAGCTCGACCTTTGAGTTGCCAAACTGACTAAACATGATTGCTAAGTCCATACCCTGCACCATTGTAGGGACAGCTGTATCATATGGGCAGTCTCTAGAAAAACCGACCTTCCCAGATTTCTGTACTTTCTTAATGCACTTCTTGAACTTCTCATGGCATTTAACGTCAGTTAGACCTGCAAACTCCCTTATCAAGTTAGCGTTTGAGCAAAATAGGTATAATAATCACTTCTATAGTTTTTTTTTAGAAACACTTTGTGAATAGGGTACAAGGAAATTCTTACTGTCCCACAACAACAGATGTATAAATTGCTCAAGCTTTAGCAGACAATGCATCATTTTTTCATTGAGATGCTTTCTCACGAACTAGCAAAAATGCTAATGAAAAAGGAACACAATAAATATGTATCTCTGAAATGACAAATCAACTAGAATTCAATCCTCATCCACAGATTCATCTAAAAATCATACAAAATTCTAAAGCCCATACCAATTTCCTTTAAATTTCACCCTAGCATTAGATTAAAACATAAAGAGTAAGTTATCAGGCTAGTATTTCGTTAAAGTAGTACACGAGCTTATTCTGTCTCCTTCTTGCTCAACCACTCTACAATTTGCACAATGAGAAAGAAGAAATTTCCATATTAACAAGCCATTGAAGTATTTTCCAACATCAAATTGCTTTTCTTAAAGGAAAATATTAGCAACAAAGAGGTAAAATTTTCTATGGAGATACAAGGTGAAGGACAGTGACACCAATTGTTATATGCTATACCTAACTAGCAAAGCACGGTAAAAGTTACTAAAAGTTAAGCTACTAAAGATGTACAACTCAAACAGAGGAACAACTCTAGTTTATAAGTGGCCAAGTTAATTCCCAATGTTGGTATCTGAATTCCAGAATAAGTACTAAGTTAAGGCCACAAACCAAATATGTATAACAAGAATACAGCCATGCACACAAAAGTACCCCAAATTTACATAGGCAACAGCCACGATTTGTGCAGGATCACTTAAAATCATAACAACCTCTAGTGCTCTTTCACTAATACAAGTGAATGCGATGTCTTCTCTAGTGGCCCAAGGCTAAAGGAGTGCAATTGATCTTAAGTTTATTCCCAAAAAGAGGTCAAAACATGAGATTAAGGTAATCTCCCTAAAAGAGCATGTACCAAATAAACAATCTGACAACGTTAGCTGGGTTAACACTAATCTTAATTCTATCTGAAGTTACTATGATTGTTTGATTATCTTTGGCAGTCAAAGCTAGCAGATAAAAACCCCTCCACCAAGGGCTCCTACATATAACTATATAAGAAGGGCCAAGCAAGAAAATGGACCTCAATATAAGAAATCCCAAGAGTACTGGAAAAGCCACAGTTCCAGGCAATTTCTATAGTTACTCTTTAGGAGTAGTCTGACAATTCTCATGTAGGTCCAAATCATTGCCAGAGAGGTATTGTAACTTGAAGAATAAGTGCAGTAGCTTGAGGAGGGTACAAGTAGTTAGGAAACATTGGAAACAATGCAGCATGAGTTATTTAGCACTTTGCACCCAAATGCAAACCTAATCCTTTGAGTGGACTATAGGACAAAAAGGGAAAATTGTCTAAGAAACCAAAAAAGAATTAAATCTGTATCAAGTTGAGCCATTTTAATGGTCGCCTGAAAAATGGAAAATGCTGTTTTATAACCCTGCAACCCAATGTTCGTATACAGAGTGCAAGTTCACCTGCTCATTTGGGGCGATCAGTTAATGCCTCATAGTGTTACATTGCATGGAACCAATAGCATAAGTGCAGACCTTCGGCGAAATGAAAGACTAATTCGTTTGTTGACAAAAAAAAAAAAGAAAGACTAATTGATGATCAACGAACCAGATGCCTGTGGTTAAGTGCCTTGACCAAAAGTAATAAGCAAAGCTACCCTCATCCGAAATGAGACAAAGCAAATTGATACTATTTTGCATTTAGAGCTACCCGTTGAGTTTTATAGGCATAAAGGAAAATACCTTTTTTCTCGACACATTCATCATGAATCTTGCAACAAGCATCCAGATCATCACAAGGTTTCTCTCCTGGACACCCACTCCACCCTACTCCACAATACTTCCCGTATCTAATCCCAATTGCTGTTCCCAATTTTTTTTTTTATTTAAAAAAAGTACAAATCTCAATAGAACGCATAATAAGTTTAGAAAACGCAACTACAAAATAAATTAAAAAGAAAAAGAAAAAGAGATAGAGGTATATTTACAGTTGCAGTTCTCTGCAACGCAGGTTTTGCTGCATCCAACCTACCAACCACATCCAAAACACCAAAAAAAAAAAAAGGAACGGAAAAAAGAAGAGAATTTAATACTCGACCATTTCAAACATTAAAAGCTTTATCTAAAGGCACTAAAATTGTGAACTATGTGAATCTATACCTGAGAATTGTTGGAGGTCTCAGCGATGACATTGAAGAAGAGGAGAGAGATGATGGTTATAAGAACCAATGCAGCAGGGCCACGAGTCCGAAACGAAACACTACTGCTGCCCCGTTGCATTCCTCTCTCTGTCATCTGCCTCCTCCTTCTGCTTTCCCCCCAAGTGATTCTTTCAATCTCTCTCCCCTCGTTTTCGTGCCTTGCGATTTGTTTTCTGAGTACTTGTTTTCTTCGAACAAAAGAACAGCGTCGATGACCATAATGGCCTCCAGAAGATTCGGAATGTGGACGTAGCGGGCTTTCCTGATTGGCTGATTGGTTACAGCGGATGTCTATTTTTGTCTTTGTGGATTCAACTTGTAGGCATGGTAGTTGACCTCTAATTAACACATGCCCCCCTCACCTCATGGGACAAGAAAATTTAATAAAAATAATAATAACAAATCGTGAGCCTCAAGAGGAAAAAATAAAAATATCATAACAGATTTAATAGGGGGAAATTTGCAGTATCAACCAATGCCCGTGACCTTCACGTCCCCTGCTTTTTGTGTTTGGAACGCACATTAGTTACTAGTTAGAATCGTTAATATATTTATGGGAAATTCTATTTTACGTTTCTGGTATAATCTCTAAGAATTATATCCACATGGCAAAATTACCAAAATACTTTGATCTGGCATAAACTACTTTTCAAATGCTTCGATCAGTGGATTTGCCTACTGCTACCTCAGCGTCTCTCTTATTTAGCATTTATTCTTATCAAAGCCATCTCCACGGCAATTTCAAACAAAAGCATTATATTGATACCCCGCAATTCACCTCTATCCGAAAGCGTGGTGAACTCTCCAGTCTCCACAGGTGATCACCATTAAGGGTAATAGACCCCGAACCCTGAGAGTCCCAAAACTGACCAAAGGTTTAAGCATCCCCATTATCATAGTCATAATTTAGCGGGATGAAAGTGAAGGTCAGTTAGAATTGGCTGGGCAGCCTGGAAAAAAGTATCCACAAGGACATGGAAACTTCATTCCAACATGTAAATCCCATTACACTGAAATGTCGCATATTCTGACGAAATATTGCATCCCCTGCCCAAAGTCAATTAAAGAATTTTGAGATAATCATGTTAGCAAAAATATGTGCATATTTGCCAGACATTGCGCAAATCACATGACCTTGGCACCGTGCATGCCTAATTGATAACTGAGCAGCATTAGTTTTGGTCAAAACAACATCCATCACGATCACGAGTAGGAGTACCTTCCAACCAAAAACTCTATTACAAATTTCACTACTCTATCCATTCAAACTGGAGAAGGAACTAAAATATCAAATTCACAGATTATTGAGGCAATAAATTTGACCACTGATTTCTCAGCTTCAAAACTTTTTGCAGGAAACAAAAATCTTGCATGTAAAACGATGGTGGCTCAATTCAAACTTAATTATGACAAAGGGCTCATAGAGTCAGCTTCCTGGATTAATGTTATACCCCTCTGCTGGTTTTCAAACATAGTAGCCAGTGAATGTAAAACCCCTTCCCACAATCTCACCAGCACAAAACCACGCAAAGCATTCAATGCCAAACAAAGCAGCGATGCCAGCATCCTCAACCTTCAACTCGTGCCTGTTCTTCCACAAATGCTTGACGTAATCAACTTCCTTCCAGAAAGATTCATAGCGACTAGGGATACTGTAAGAAGTAATGATTTTAGTGCAGCTATTCAGCATATTTAACAAGAAGTAAAACTTCAATAATAGCATGCAATTAAAGAAGCAAATCATCTGGCTCTCATCATTACAATCAATATACATTCGTGTGAAAGAAACAACTGATTAAATTGAAACCTATACTTAAGCCCCTAGAATCACATAAAAGCCATGATTAGAACTGTATAGAAATCGGGAAGTTTGCAAACTAGTTCCCAAACTGATACTTAACTGCAATATGATTTCAAACAACCAATAACACTCTATTCTTTCCATCTTAAAATAGGACCAATAGACTGAAAAAGAAAATAAAGCAACTAACTGACGTGTTGATTATTGTCATTAGACCTGGTCATCTTTCTTCTGCAAGGAAACTTACAACATTCAGATAGTAGAGGCACCCATCAAATTAATCAAAAGCATCACTTCTAGAGCAAATAAAAAAGAGTTGTAGCCAACCAAATCAATCAAGGGCATTCATTCCGAAAAACAATTCCATAAATCCCCAGAACCCCAAAGGCATTTTCAACCCGGCAAAATATTTTCATACATCCTTTCAGGGTGGTCAATTCCAATTAGAAAACCATGCAAAAGCCTCCATTCTTCATCCTCCACCAAGCTATTTAACATGGCAAAAGCCTCACAGCTCCGCAAGTGACACTAAAGAATAAATGATTTATGTTACTCAGATATGCAGTACACGTAAATCTAACATATAAAATGCTGTAATTGTAATCCAATGTCAAGTTGTAACTTTCCATCATCCAGAGCTATACTAAATTCAAAGTTGCAATTTATTCAAACCTTAAACTTTATGAATTGCCCTTTTAGTGATCAGAAGACTCCAGAAAATCAAGCACTAGACACAGACAGTTTCACAGAAATCATTCACATACTATGCAAAGTCATGCATAACATGGTATTAATTCTTTGCAATAACAGTGATCTAGATAAACGTTAATCAGCAAGTTAAAACCAGGGGACTGAAAATGTAATAAGTTAAAAATGGGGGACTGAATTCTCTCTCCATTAGAAGAGTTAATTTCAATAGGAGACTGAGTTCTCTCTCCGTTAGAAGAGTTAATTTCAATAAAACCAGTAACTTCATTTACTGCCACATCAAACCATCACCAGAATTAACTTGTGACAAGGTAAAAAGTCAATTTCTAAGCAGTAAAGTCAGAAGAAAATGGTTTTCCCCCATTTAACACATAGTAGTTAAGGTGGCAATCCAACAAAAGCAAAACAGGTAGAATAAATACTTTAAGCATCAAGTCACCAACGGTATAAACCTGGCAAGACGAGTGTAGAACAGTTGCTTGGACAACTCATTGCACTTCTCCACAGTAGGTGGTTGCTGAATGTACTGCTTGTTCTCTTCCACCAACTGCTTGTAGTAAGCACAACCGTGCTTGGACACAAATTGTGTAGCTTGGCTTGCCTTGGACTGCAATTGCTTCAATCTTGCTGCCATCTAGTCCAAAATTAAATCCTAGCCAACAGGCACAAATAAGTACATAAATGTTAAACATCTCATCTATATCCAAGTAAATGAAAGTAAGATCTGTTCCAAAAAGTAATGATATAAATGCAAATACATTTTCGACAATTTGAATGATGCAACAACATACTTGGCAAAGCGTATAATACAACTCAACACATTTTGCAAAAATTTAAATGACATGTTACTGCTGTGAGAAACAATATATTACTGGGGGAAGAAATCATAATTTATGTCCATAATGTACAGGTATCTCATTTATCTATTGGACCACGTCAAAATTACTTTACACAATGGCCTGAACATCCACTGGAAGAAATCATCACATTTAAGGGGAAAAAATTTTCAGAGAAGCATCATTTTACATGAAATTAGAAACGCCACCAGACTGCTCTCTGGAAAAGCATAAGAACGTCCAATTATCACTACCCAACCAAGTTTCTGGCTGCAGTACAACCAGATATGCACAAAGAAGCAAGGGGTTAGCCGAATACCCATCGCGTGATGACAAACTTCAATTGCAACTTTATGAACAATGACCATCTTTACTAACACAATAAATCAAAAGTTATACATTTTCAGCATCTTGATCAATTCATTTGGTCCACATTTGTCCCAGATGAAGTTGCACTTTTGCTATGCACAACTTAATCACAATTCATGTAATAAACGAATAGACGCAGATCAGGGTGGGGAAGGAGGCAGCAGTTCAGGCAAATGACTTGGTTTCTTTTGCTGGATTGAAACAGCAGGAAAAACATATCAAGGACTGTAATATCTAAGGCATATTTCCTATATTTTCTAAGGGAATAACAATATTCAAACAAATTCAATCCTCAACAACTACATTCAAGGGGAATTAACCAAAATAATAACAATATAAAAAGAGAGACAAATTTCCTTTTGTCGTTTAAATTTCTTATACATTTCTTTCTTCAACTTTAGAGGAAGTCTTATATGGCTCCGATATCTGGATCAGGAAACAATCAGCAATTAAGCATACAATCAGAGTCAAACACTAAACCCATCAGCATGCTAAACCCCAAAATGACAACAACCACCATACACTGTAGATTCACGCAATAATCACCAAAAGCAACGGATACATTAAACGTACAGACAAGAGCGGAAATAGAATAACAGAAGAACGAGATCTATGAGAAATCCGTGCGAAACCCTAGACGATGAGCTGTGGTCCGAGTAAATCAAAGCCGGAAGTGGAAACTACGGCGAAATGAAAACGGAGAATGAGAATGGGTTAAAGTTACCTGCAAAGGAGAAAAGAGAGAGTTAAGAAAGAAGAAGGGGGGGGAGGCGGCGTGGATTGTGTTGCCTCAGCGGCAGCTGTGGCTTTGTTTTGCGAAGGACTGCTACCGTGTGACGAGACCGAGAAATTGAGACCTGTGATAATAGTTGGTGATATTTACGTAAGCTGTAGTGCATTTTTTACCGCGGTTAACTGGCTCTGGTTCTGACTTCTGCTTTGGCTTGGGTGAAAAAGTTCTTTCAGGTAGATTACAGTCACCAGCTTTACCTTTTTTTTCTTTATTTCTTTCCTTTTTTTAATTTTTGATTTTGTATGAATGAAATTCGTACCCCTCAAGCAAAAAATAAAATAAAAAATACACGTAGTTTCCCTTTATTATTTGTGTTTTAATTGAAGAAATTTTCAAAGGATTTTCAATAAATAAAATTGACGCCCCAATGAAAAAGATTTAAAAATACAATAAACACGTAAAATCTGTAGATATTTTTTTATCTTTGGAATCCACCTTGCATCAAAACGAAGTCCATCACATCACAATAGTCGATCACGCTGTCAAACTTTGTCGATCAAGTCCAAAACATCGGTGATTCAAGCCCAAATGCGGGAGCCTGTGGGATGATAATCTAAGCCCTTCTATCATTAAGTGTTACTTGGCCCCATACCCCGCCCTAAGAATTCCTTTGGCATTCATTTATCTCTAAGCACTCGCGGTTCAATCCCAACAGACCCTCTAAAATTGTTGGTTATTTGAATGGAATTTACTCAATTTAGTTTCTGGCGGCGTTGGAATAGGGGGATCAAACCCTGTGTCGCTTAAAGTTGTGGTCACACGAATCACATAAATATGGTGCTGCCACATTTTAGTAATCACATACTTGTAACTTCAACATCTAGTCGTAATCGCGTAAATCTATTTATCCCTAATTATGTGACACAATTATATTAAAATGACCGGTTTGGAACCGTGATTTATGCGACCGACAATCTCATCTCTAAACTAGGTATAAACGTGACGTACTAAATTTATAAGTACGAACAAAGTAGCTATTCGTATTGTGGAACAAAATTTACATTATTTTATAGCGACATAGAATGAAAGTTGTTTGAATTTAGTGTAGATGAGAAGTAATGTACATTTGTTTATGCTAGATAATTGATGTGCTCGGGCTTCAATCTCCAATAATCCCTTCAAAAGCCTCGGTTATCATTAACCGAATTCAACTTCTCGCATTGCTGGAATAGGCATAAACTCGATGATCTCAGTTTACATGCGAAAGCTATGTTTCGATGGGACATGTTATTCATAATTTTAACACCGGTCTCATGCATTTCTTATAGATTTCTCATGGATTCTGAAAAGAGTTAGTAATATAACAGCCATAATTCAGTTTCCGAGAAAGTGAGAAACAGATGAAAATCATATGCAGCACCTTAAGGCCACATATATTACTGACGGTTTATGTCCTGAAATGGTCAACGATCGACCCACCAAAAACATTTGCCACCAAATTCTGATTGATTGACGGATTAGTGGAGTACACAACTTCATGCTGCATGCAGCATTTATTTTACGAACACTAACAGCATAAGATTGCGACACTGAACTATTTTGTGTACTAATGACTGATGGCCCATAGATCGATCTGCTCCATCATGCAGTACCCATGGCAGCGAGGATCACGGCGACGTCGATGCCTAGAAAGCAATGCATTGCAGGAAGGAGCCTCTCATGACCTGAATCAGCATTGGTACGTGCGAAGACCATAGACTTCCACCACAAATTTTTGATGGCACTAAATCAACAGTTTCAGTGAATACACTTCACAATATCTAGACAGGACAAGCAACCCCAAAATGACAACGACAAAAGGATGAAAGGGGGATCAAAAGGCAGTGCACATTCTTAAAGGCGTGATTTTGTGAAGATACAAGAAGGTTTGTCGGGATTGATCAAATTCTTCAAAAATTTGACCAGTTTTTAATTCTTATCACATTTTTATCTCATTTATATTGATTTTCAGCGAATGGTGTAAATAGACATTTGGAATTTTCTTCACTTTCTATAGCGATTTTCATCTTTCTTACTCAAGTCACTGTCCTGTATGGATCATGACATTATCGGCTCAAATGTCAAAAGGGTAGAGTTTTGCTTTCTTACGATGATGAAACTAGCGAAGGAACACATCTTTATTTAATAGCTTTGACGCCATTTTGCTTTAATATATAATAGAAACACAATCCTCAAATGTAATCCTCAATCTTAGACATTGTATATAATAATATGATTAAGCTAAAGAACTGGCCGCTTGGTGGCATCAGTTGAGATACTACAATGAAAACGTACAAAACAAGTAACCAAGAATTAAGAAGACGAAAATCCTGAAGCAATGCATGGATGGAACCGTAATTACTGTTTAAATATGCTAATTAACTTCCCAAAGATCTTAGTAAGAGCTCTGAAGGGGTTTTAGAGTACTCCCAAAAGTTGTTTACGGCATTCTTTTTTTCCCAAAGTCCGATTTTGTTTATTTTTTTCCCAAACGCTGTCGCTCAGTACACAATCCAAACACGCCCTTAAAGCTCAATTTTACTGCCACGTATTGTGAACGCATGCATTTTGATGTTCAATATAAAAGCAAGGTGTGTGTTTGGTGGAACTAACATTAATTCAAAGTGTTTGGTGGAACGCAGACACGGCATTGACAATTGATCATATTCAATGCTAAGATGCATGCAGCTCAACAAAATCTTTTTTTTTTTTTTTTTTTTCCTTTTTCTCAATTACAAGTCGAAGCTCTACAGAATCTAAATGAATGTTTGATCAAATGATGGGGCAAAAAAAAAAGCAGCTAAAGAGTGTTTGATATTTTGAGATACTTTTGATTTTTGAAAATTCAGTTCTTCGTCATACACGTAATTATAAATGTTCAGTTGGTGATGGTGATTTAGTTCAAACTGGCAATAAAATTATTAATCTTCTTAGACAACAAATCAATGTGAAAATGGACTGTGCCATTTATTAACACTTGCATATTAATATACTTGAAGGCCAAGTCAATGACCTTCAAATTATTCTACCATTTCTACCCATTGTCCGTTCCCCAACTATGGAGTATAGAACCGGTACTCCAAGAAAGAAGTTCAGCTCAATATATATGGCAAAGCTTTAAACGACATTGATCTCTGTCAAACTTGATCTATAGGGATCCAAAGAATTTCAAGACCCCCAAAAAAAAAAAAAAAAGAATATGTAGTATGATGAAACTATAAGGAGTTATTGCTGCTGGACGTCATTTTCCTTCTTAATTTCCATGAAATCATGTATTCTCTGGAGTGCAATTTCTAGTGTCCGCTCGGTCATGTTGGCAAAGCAAACTCGGAACCATCCTGGCTCTGAACAATGGCAAGAAGATCCTGGAGATATATTTAACTTCACTTCATACAATATTGATTTCCAAAGGGCTAATTCGCTTTCCTTTTTGCGTTCCTTCAACAATGGACTTAAATTCATCCAGCAAAATAATCCAGCATTTCCTTCTAGGCACTCGATGCCCCTATTTCTCAAGCCATCAATTATCATGTGGTACCTATTTTTCAACCTTTCGCGATTAATCCGTATGTATTTTTCGGTGAAGTCCTTGTCGGACAGCATAGAAGCCAATAGCTGCTGTGTCTGCGAAGAAATCAAGGTGAAGCTTGACATTCTTCTTGCTGTCGTAACAACTTTGTCATTGTAGGAATAAATTGTCCCAACTCTAAAACCTGGAAGCCCCAAGTCCTTGGATAGACTATAAACAATATGGACTCTTTCGGAGTCTTGGTAGTTTCTTGCTTCAAGAACTTCGGCAATGCTAACAAATTCACCAGAAAAGAATGCAGATCCTGAATAGATTTCGTCTGAGACGAGATGGATATTTTTGCTTATCACGAAATCAAGAATGTCTTCGAGGACAGATCGTTGAATTGTTGCACCTAATGGATTTGAAGGATTTGTGATTAGCACCCCTCTAACTTTGATGTTCTTGGATACTGCATCAGCATATGCTGCTTCTAAGGCTTGAATAGTAATCTGAAAATTGTTCGAGCTGTCACAGTGCACTGGTACAATATTGACTCCAGTTCTCCATCTCAAGTCTCTGTCAAATCTGTAAGGATGGATGGACCTTTCTTGTTATTAATATAAATTTATTGAAAATGTGCAGATACATACTTAACATGAAAATCACTGAAGCTTGAAATATATAGTTGACGCATACCCTGGATAGTAGGGAGTTGGAACTAATAAAGCATCCCCCGGGTTGGCCAAGATAAAAGTCACAAGCTCATTAGCTGCTGTAGCACCTGCTGTGATGACAACTCTGTCAGGATCGAATTTTGCTCTTCCTCCTCTTATTTGTTCCATGAAGCTTGCCATTGCCTGTTATTATGTGCAGAAGATGTTAGGGGATAAATTCATGCTCACATGCAGGTGCATTTTCTACTGAAAGATATACTCCAACTCAAAAGCCTAACGCATAGTACCTTTCTAAAGGATTGTAGACCATGATAATCCTGAAATAGTGCATTTTCTCTGAAGCTAGAAATTTTATTTCCAAAACTAGCTGCTTCAGAATGCTTTTCCAAGTATTCTTCCAGCAAATCAAATGAAACCTGTACACAAGACATAAACAAGCAAGGTTAGTATACAGTAACCGAGAGACCTTAATTTTGGACTCGAGTCTTGGTAGCTCTTTCTTTTGCCTAATAGATGGTGGTGAACCTTACTTGATTTTCTGCCAATCCCATCTGTATGACTCCGGATGGATTACGGGATTCATCGTATGGATCTTCATCATATGCTTTCCATCCTGCAAAGTATGGTGAATCTTCTCCGTGAGTATCCGAGACTGCGACCTTCGATAATTCTACAGAAGGCTGTTGCTCAAACTCTACACCCATTAGTAAGTTTTAGTTGCAACTTCCAATACCTTCTTGATCAGGAAACTGTTATAGAAAGAGAGATAAGAGGAGAGACTAGTTGTTTTATGAACTATGAATCCTAACCTGAGAAATGCCCATTATATATAGGAATTTTGGACTCAAAAGGGGCCCTCAACATAAATGCAAGAGATGATACAATCTCC